AAGATTTTTCTCGTTATTTGTGAGTTTCATGAAATACGAATGAATTAGCATATTTTAAATTACAATAAATAAGGTAAAAGCAATGATTATAATACATTAATAGTGGGAGATTTCACAAAATTGTTATTGTTTATCATTAACAATCATTTCATTATCTTTATAATATGCTACCAGTAAAAAAACTCTAATTATTACTGTTTAATAAAATCATTTCAAATGATTTATAGTTGTTCAACTTCTTTATTTTTTATTTATTAAAGATAACATTTTTCAATGGCTAAGGAAGTTTAAATTTTTAAAAAAATCTTTTTTTTTTATTCAACTAACTTTATCTCGTGAATACTGTTTGTAAGTAGTAGCCTGTATTGATATTATTTCGAATTTGAAACACCGTATGATGGTTCGTTCATTCCTGATATGGTATTGAAAGTTATATGTAACAAGGGAATGGTCATAGATTTTCATTGCTATCATTAGTATAGTTAGTATGGATTACGGTATGCTGTGACCATCTATCAGCAAACTTCAGAAGTATCACGAAAAAAAAAATGAAAACTCAACTCATTGTCACTCGCAATTTCTGTCAATTACTGAAGGATATGAAGAGTATGGGAAGGGAAAAACATATCATTTCGATAATAATACTAACTTTGATATAAAAAATCTAAGGAAAAGAAATTCTTTTGTCAATTATGTGACACATTACGTAATGAACACAAAAAAAAAGACATATAAATGTTGTTGTTGAAGTTAAAATTTAGAAATCGTTTTACATCACAGATAGTACTGATAGTAGAGTGCAATAACTAAAAACATTTTCCTAACTAATAATGATAAAAGATAAGCATTTGAATGTATAAAATTCGATCGCATTATATGGATTACTGATAAATAATCAAAATTTCATGACATAAATATTAAGCAAGAATAGCAAGTCTTCATTCAAATATTTGTAGCACATGTTTTACTTCATTAAATAGATCCATTTGATTCAAATTAAGATGAAAACGAAAAAAATTCCAGAAAAAAATGTATCTTTAATATAGGGTAATAAATATACTGAATTATTTGTCAGGTTGTTTACAATTTACATCTATTTGTCAGGTTATTTACAATTTGCATTTTTTAATTTGAATCTTTCAATTTAATGTAACATGCCAATCATTTGGAGCGATCTTTGGACCTTTCACCTAACTTCTATCAATTTTTTTTTCCTCAAACCATTCCATAAATTGATGATTTCCAAAGTAACACAGCTTTGGTAGTTAATGGAGTAGAAAATGAAGAAGTAGAGAGATGCGAAAGAAATGTTTGTTTTAAATTTAAAGATATATCATTCCTTTTTAATAACCAACTTTATCTTTAAATTAATGTTGGCCATGAAACTTTGAAATAAAAATTGAATAGCGACGGATGGTACTGTAAAAAATTTTTCTGCTGTATTGTAAATTTCAAGAAATTGATCAATTTCTTTAAGTTAGATTCTTACAGAATCTCTTTATCTTTAATATTTACAAATTGGACATAAATAAAACTTAAAGCTACCAACTTGTGCAATGCTATTTACTTCTAAAACTTTAATAAGTAAACATTATATCCACCTATTAAGAGTTACATTATTCTAAAGAATTATAGTGATTGAGCTGAAATTATGTTTTATAATTATGAGTAATGAAAATAGAATGATATGGCTTCAATAAATGGTACAACTTGATACTAATTTTTTTTTCTTTTTTACAAATATAACACGATTAGCAGAAATTTGACGAAAACTGCGAAAACATGAAAACTTGATGGAAAAAATGAAATCGAATTAGGGAAGCAATCCGTTTGAAAAATTAAGTAATAAAAACTTTGTCTCTGAACTTTCCTAGGAGGAAATTTTGATTTTCAATGATTTCTAACGATCAGATTGCAGTATTTTAGAAGCAAAATAAAAAATTCATAAGTTAGATGAATTTTTGGTTAGATGAAATTTATAAATTAGATGGAATTTATTTATTAGTTATTATTTTCCTGTTTATATTTTCCTTTACTCATTGTTCGTAAGCAATAATAATTGTACGAAGTTTACCTTACCAGAAAAGTAAACTTAAAAATTATCAATGGGGTCATTCGATTAAACTAATTGAAATTCTCCTCCGAACTCAATTTTTAAGCAAATATAATTAAAAACTGAATTTAAGTCTTTTTTAGCTTAATTTTCTAACTGAATTTAGGTTTTCTTGAATAATCATTTAGTTCCAATTTTAATATCGATTTGTTCGATATTTGTCATATATCTTGTCTAATACACTGAAGTTTTTACCCATAAAAGTGCATTTTGTAATGGACAATTTCAAATTTTTTATTCATTAATTTGTTTTTCTACGAAAAAAAAAGGAAAGATTAGGGAAAGATTAGGCATCACAGCAAAATTGTATTTCACTCGAAATTGTACTTCACTTTTTTTCGTTCTCTGAAAAGATTTGTTAAGTTAAAAATTTTTGTGAAATTTTGAATATAAAAGAACAATAAAAGGTTGAAAGTTTTAGACATTTTATTTTTTTTTCTTCTCTTTTACTACTTTTTTTCCATCAGTATTGCTAGAGAATTTAGTGTGCAATACTTTGATTAATATATCATCCATTGATATAATCAAATATCAGATATGTGATTTGTTTAAAATGATATTTCTGTAAATTATCAATCTCTACAATATTATACGTATGGGATAAATTGTATCTTACTCTTTTTCTTTTTTTTTTTCTAAAACTTTTCGTTTTTACGCAAAACATATCGATAGTCAAAAAATTATTCTGTTATCTCGAATAAGATAATTAATAGATTATTTTTCTTTCTTTTTCTTTTTTTTTGTTTAGGAGAAAAAATTTCGAAATATTTGTTAATCTACATCCAACTTTTAATTACATTTCAAGAAATATTTGTCTTAAAAAATTGCAAATTTCATCAATTTTATAACGAAACACTTTACATCCTTTATCCTTTTCCTTCAATTCTTCATTTTTCTTTTCCAAAATTGTTATATTTACATCTTTTTTAGGGTAATAAATTTGGCGCAATTATTTGCCTCATCAAAACGAAATAAGCCTTTTCTTGAAAAAAAAAACTTCATGATTTTGATTTTTGGCTTTATTGCTCAGCTTAGATTATGGCTTTGTCAATTTTAGTGAAGCTTAGTTATAAATATTTTATGCTTCTGTTTGTTATGTCTCATTTACTCCACTCTTTGTTTTATGATCATACCAAAGCTAATTTCATTATTGATTATCCTAAACAATTATGCATTTACCTATTAATTTTTATAATCCTTTTAGTTTGTAAAAAATTTATTAGAAAAAATATAGTCTATTTTACCACTTAGCACTTTTTTTAACCTCTATTTTGCTTTATTGTTATTACACTTTATCATTTAACTTTGCCTAAATACTATTCTTTACAGATCTTTTATCTGACAAATAATATTGAAATTTAAAGTCAAAAAGTTGAATTCGAGAAAAAAAAAACGTCAAATTCCTAGAAAATAGCAAACAGCTATGCAGTGACGCATTTTAAAACAAATGCAGCAAAAGACAAATAAGTACAAAAGAGTGAGAGAGAAAAAAAAAAAATTTTGTCGAACGGTAAATTTCATCGTTTGAATCAAACCATAATGGTTCATTAAAAGGGCGTGCAAAATGTTGATAATATTGGAAATTTCTAGTTTTTTGATTTAAAAAAAAAAAAGAAAAACGATAAAACGATTCACCATTTCCTTCGTCAAATCTTTTCAAACAATCCTTCACATTTAGACAAATTTCCTTTACCTCTAAATGTGGTAGTTTAACTTTACAGCTCTTTCCTTAACTTTTTCCATTTCGTTACATTTTGATTTTTGTTTTCAGAGTTTTTTTTTCTTTTTGTCAGAAATTTTGATTGTATATGAAAGAAGCAAAAATAGGAGGCTAATGGGTGAGGTAATCTGTCTGATATTAAAAAAATGAAATGAATTGTTAGATATTTGCTCGTGTTATTGCTTCACCAGTTTATTTTTTAGGTAATAATGTTAATCAATAAAGGGAAAAATTTGAATTCAATACCGTACATCCTTCAAATTTTAACTATGTAGGTTAATTTTAAAACAATTTTCTGCAATAATTTTTCCTGGATGTTTAAACAAATTTATTAGCTAAAAAAAGTTCTAATATAATTGCTACTTTTGTACTTCGATGAATTTATCAAAAACAAAAAAAAAAAGTTTTAGTTATTTAGAAATGAGCATAAAATTTTCTAAAATTCGAGAGTAGTTCTTATTACTTTCCATCAAATCATATTTAAAAAAATTATCACATTTTTTTTTTTCAGTTTGCTCTCTTTGGTAAGATTTGCCAATTTTGCAGCAATCAATTCATTTAATGGTAATATTGTGGGAGATAATGTTAGTTTTTTAAATGTATTTCATTAAAAAAAAGGTCATCCTGTTTAATTTTATTGATATATTAAATGAAAAAAATAATAATAATAATACAATTTGATATTGCTACATTTCTGCATATTTTCAGCATCAGTAAAATTCATCACTATTAATGACAAAAATATCATCGATTTTTAAATTAATAATCAGATGATATAAATGGCAATTATAAAAAATAAATAAGTAAAATAATAATAATAATAATACATTTATTTGCTACATGGTTAAAAATCATTCTTATTAATTTAAAAGTATCATCAATTTTTAAATTAATAATCAAATGCATAAGTGGCAAATGAAAACAAAAAAAAAGAAAAAATACAAAAAATAAAATTTTGATAAAACTTTTTCAAACAAATAGTTTGCTTCATTCATAAAAATTTTTTTTTTTTGTTTCAGTCTATGAACAATAATGCAAATAGTGGTTTCCCTTATCAATGGCAATATACTACTACAACAACAACAACTTCAACACAAACTACCACAAAACCGTCAAGCACCACTACACGCTTAATATATCCACCGATTCATTTTATTCCTCCTCCTGCTCAATTACCATTACCACCACCACCACCACCACAACCTGCTAAATCACCATATGGTAGACTACCATATGGTCAACAACCACTACCACTACCACCACCACCACAACAACAACCTTCTAAACCACCATATGGTAGACTACCATATGGTCAACAGCCATATAGTCAATTACCGTATGGGCAATTACCGTATGGACAAGTACCATATAGTGGTACAGGTCCATCATTACGGGGTCAAGAAGGTGGATATTTATCATATATTCTTTATTATAATGCTACTGTACCGTATACTGGAGGAGGATATTTGCCTTTTATCAGTGAATATTTTGAACGTAGACGTGGAGATGGTGGACGAAGAGAAGGCCGTAGGCGAAATGGTAGTCGTCGACGAAATGGCAGTCGTAGACGAAATAATGATGACAGTGATGATTTGGAGAGGGAAATTGAGAGATATTTAGCACTTATTACAGGTCCTACTTCCAGAAATCCATCACTTCGTTATAATTGGGGTTCTTATAGTATCAACTAAGAGATTTATATTTTGTTTTCTGCCTATTTTGCTGATTTGAAATCCTTTCCTCATTTTTATGATTAACAATTTATGCTATTTTGTTAGCTAGAATTTAAAAAAGAAAGAATAAGAAATTTTGATTGAAATTAATATTGATAATATTTCTTTGTTTGAGTGATCATTCAAAATAAAATTAATAAATATTTACATTTAACAAATGTATAATTGAAATGAAAATTTAATTGAAGAATCGTTAACCTCTAGTTTAGCTTATTGATGGGAAAAAAAATTTTTATTTTCGGTAAAAGTTTCTAAATATTACTATTTCATTATGATCCTGTTTGATATCATATTTTATTATTGTTCTATCTATTTGATACTATTTTAATAAATTGTTAAAATGAGTCATCAAATATTTTTATGGTGTACTTTTTTTCGCTTTTTTTTTTGTTTCGTTTTCTTGCTATTTCATTTATTTCATCTTCTTTATAACAAGTATTATCAATAAAAAGTAATAATAAACTGCTAAGTACCATTCCATTTTTGTTATGAGTAATTTTATTCATATGTTTACCGTTTACAATTCAAATTTTTAAAATCAAAATTTACATACAGCCTGTTTATTACTCACCTTTTTTTGAATATTTCATGTGGTTTCTTGAATTTTCGTAATTTTAATTTAATTAAACTAATTAAATTTTCTTCAAAGATTGAACATTGAGAAGTGCATTTCATTCATCCAACACAGGTAAACATACCAGACAATGAATGACTTATTTTATAAAATGTTAGAAAAAACACCCTATTTCTCTTTCACTCATTCGTTAATTACTTTGGAAACAGTTGCAAAAAAGAAACCAAAAAAACTGCTCGAATTTTCTTTTTTTTTCAAAAAATTACAAAAAATTTGGCCAAAATTACAACTTTCCACTTTTCCGTTTTTTTTTCCTTTTCATTGATATGATAAAGCAACCAACAAAATTTGTCATCAAAAATGAAGTAACACATTTATGGAAGATAAAAAGCATTAGTTGCTCTTCTACTTTTTTTCATGTAATATGAGTTTAAAATTGCTTGTACTTTGAATCTGAACATAACTCGGTTCTTTTCGTTCAAATAAAACAATTTGGGAAGTAAAAATTCATTTAAATGCAGCTTAAAAATCAATATTAGTGTTATCATTTTGCAGTGGAAAGTAAACAGAGAAGTTGATTTCAATTGAAATTACTTTTAGATAATAAATATTAAACAATATAATTATTCGAGTTATATTTAAGTTCATAAAAATGCCTCTTCAATATCGAAATTAATATTACCGATGAGTTTTTCTCTTTTTCTTGAAATTTGAAAATTATCGATTCTAATGAAACGCTTTACTGCCAACCTGAAATTTTGTCAAAAAATTACAATGAAATTTACAGAATTTTGATTTTTTCAATTCTTTTCAATATAAAAAAAATTTCATAACCTTGTGGTATAAGTATACAATCAGTAAAAATAAGTGTACAATCAAAAGATATACATCTAGCACAAGGATTGAAGTTGGGGAAAAAAAAAAGAGATGCTTTCATAAATATTTTCGTAATCTATACGCTCCGTATTTTTAATTTTAATGTTAGAATTTCGAATTTTTATATATGAGAGATTAGACGTTAGTTTTTTGGAAACTTACAACAACATCAACATGAAATAGGCAAAAGTCAAATAAAAACAAAAAAAAAGAAGAAGAAATTGCCGCAATATACGATAATGTTCGCATTATATTTATTCTTTTTATTTTTAAAATACTTTTAAAATGAATAAAAATCAAATAATTTGAAGAAAGTTTTTGAAAATTTTCGAATTTAAAGATTTAAAATTTCATTCAAATCTGAAGTTCCAGTTTTATCCTCATGGAGCTAGTTAGTGAATAAACTACTAATTTATTTCATAAAACTAGTGCAGGAGCTAGGATATGTTGTACTTTGATTTTATTTTATTGCAATTAATCAAAGGCTAGATCATCGTGATAAATCAATAAACTGTAATTAATTTGCCAATAAAATTTAGCACTGCAAGACGAAAGAGAAAACCAATATATAATTCCTTGTAATTTCATATTTTTGAATAATCATTAATTTCCAATTTACTTTTTGAAAGTAATTTTTGATGGGATAAAAAAAAGAACTTCAAGTTTTAGTTACTGAATATTAATGTGAACGTTCTATAACTGAGCCAAACCAGCTGCATCATTTTTTCCCTCCACAATTCTAGTATTATACCACATTACTAATACAGATCAAGTCTTAAACCATCATCTTAATTTACTAATTATTTCTAATGCATAATTAAACTATAACAATAAGGAAAGATGGATTAATTAGATTTTAGTGAATCGTTGAAAACAAAACAAAACAAAACAAAATGTTCGTTCAACTCTTCTGGTTTTTTTCTTTTAAACATTTAATTTGAGAAATTAAATTTTTGACATTAATTTCTTTTTCATTATTCATCTTTGTATGCAATCAAGAACATATGCTATATTTGTTAGCAAAAAATTTTTCAAAAATTTTATTCCATTTGTTGAGTTAAAAAAAAAGATAAAAGAAAACGAGAAAAACTGACTAATATAAGAATTTTTAAAATTTATTAAATTAAAAATTGTTAAATTTCCATACTTTTAACATTTTTTCATTATTAATATATAAAATATCTGTGTTTGCTCATGTCATAGTTCATATAACGTTTTCTAATATTTATCTTTCTTTTTTTTCTTCTTAAAATGCAAAAAAAATTTTGAAATCATTGTGGAAAAGCAAGTACAAATTGTTTCAGCGAGAAATTTGTTGCACTTTTTCGAATTTTTTTAAAATTTAGTCTCTTTTTTCCCTTTTTTCAGTAAATAGTTTTATTTTTGTTTTTATAAACGTTGGTTAAAAAAGAGAAAAAAACGTTAAAAATTATATTGTGTAATGAATTGATAAATTCAATTTCCAATTTCCATTCACATTTTTCGACATTATTATTTTACAATGATATATGCATAGTTGAATTGAAGAATTTTAATAATGATATATCGAAATAATGAAAATCTTGAGAAATAGTTTAGGATAAATGAAAACAAATCAAGTGATATGGCTGAAAAAGAGTTATAAAAAAGTAGAAAAGTAATCCTCAAATCTATATATGATATTAGCTGACTTTTATTTTTCAAGATAAAATATACACATTATATACATTTTAACATTATAAAGTGTAAATTAATTGAATAAAGATAAATGATAAACTAGATCATGTATGAAATCATTTCGTTCATACTATCATCCATTTGATTAAACTGTCCAGATATATTATGTTCGGGATACTTTAACTTATTAACATAAATACAAGAATATTATGAGATTATAATCTGAAAAAAATAGCAATCATTGATTGCATAATTTCACTTTGTAAAATGGAATAAATATGTGCTTTTCTAAAACAAATCGGATGAAATTGGAAATTACCGTTGAAATAATTTATTTCCAAACAGGTTGCTTGATTATTATTATTTTTTTTATTCGTTAAGCATTTCAATTCGTTATTCTATAAGTCATCAAAATCATTATTTTTCATAAATCTTTTTTTATTTTTTTAAAATAGTGAACATCGTTGAAACTATTGTCATTGATTAACTCATTGATAATTGATAAAATAGCTAATTTAGTCAAATACGAAACTAATGATCATTTTTGGCTTAATATTATGTAGAGGATAATTTGTCATGCTATGTTAGAATTTAGAATATCCAACCAATTTCAGTTTTGCGATTATTAAATTAATTACCGATT